TCTGTGATTCATTCGCAATCTTTGTCCCTTTTGATCTCCTCCACATAATCACCATTGACTCTAATGCATTTCTTAAGCTTAAAGATACACTTCTGAAAACAGTCTTCAAAATCTTGCTTTTTTCACTTACCAAGTTCAGCCCTAACCGCATTAATTATCTCCTCGTATCGGGGGAATATGGTGCTGGACGTATTCTTTCGATCCCAGAGATCGCAGTAAAATTACTCGGTATTTCAGCAGTGGCACTTTTTTCCTGTTTTCCAACAAATCTTTGCAAACTTTTGGCAAGCACTCTTCAGTTTACAATTTTGCAGTCACCGCCCGATACTTTTCCATTGGAGTTGCAGCTACGATTTTAGATTGGGTGAAGTAAACTGACATCATTAATTTTGCTGCTGATTTTTATTGCTCAGATTTTATGTGTGGGTTTGCTCCTGTTGGGCTCCATAATATGAACTGCTGTTTGTTTCCCGAATCTTACTTATAGAACCAAGATAAGTAAGACTTTTCTAAAATCACTGGACTGATCATTTTCGAATTCGTTTCGGAAAAATTGAGCGAAATGCACTCGAGTCTTTTTTGGGTCTCATTAAAAATTCGTAGTACCCATCGAGCAGATTTCTTCGTTTATTCAGATGATTACTTAATATTCCCGATACAGTCATGGCATGGCATTAAAGCCCAATTTCATTAGCAATAATTTCTTGTGTCAATCGTGGGTCTTCCCCTCGTTTGGACTTCACCATAGCTATAGTGAGGTTATCAGTGGAAGATTTTGGTTGACCTTCTTAGGGCTCGTCCTTCACGGAAATATGTGCGTTCTGGAATCTTCGGAACCACTTAGAAATAGTCTTTCAAGACGGTGCAATCGTTCCTTTTACAACTTCCCATTCACTGAATATTTGTGTTGGCTGTAAACTACGCCGAAACCCGAAGAGAGTCACATGGTCAATTGCTGTTTGCTTTGGTGGTGGAATTTCGCCTGACCGATCTTCAGCTATTTTGAGTTTGCTCGTCTCCATTTAAGCTGATTGTTCGAGAATTTGAAAGGAATACTAAAAAAGTAATTGCAGAAGGATTTGGTATTTTTAGATTTAACAAAAAGAAATTGAAAATCACCAAATGACCGAACTTTTCTAAGTCCCCTCGTAAGTGATGCAACTTTGCGCAGCAACAACAACAAGAACAATCCGCTGTTATAGAAAGTGTCACACTCAGGGAATACAATAAGATCACAAATGTTTTAATAATGTTGCAATCTGCTTACATAATATGGTTTCTTTGCTGGTATTTATGTATGCATGTATGTATGTATGTATGGGTGTGTATATGTGCATGTGTTGCCTATTTCTTTTTAGTTTTTATAAACTCGTTGACATTTGGTAGTTAATAATACGATCAATGAGTTCGTCATCACTGGGCTGAGGGTCACAGAGGCCTTGTTGATGGCTTCGGACATCCAGACTGCGTGGCTTTGATTTCCGCTGCGGAATAGCGCAACGGCTTAAATAAACATTCCCATTTCTTTAATGGTTTCATCAAGTTATAGAGGAGAACTAAAAAATAAAAATTGTTTTTTTATGTTAATTTCAATTAAAAACTAATTAATTTTAATATTTGCTTAATATTTTTAATATAATATATATATAATATTTAAAAAAAGAAGCACGCGATGAACTGAGAATTTTCACTAATTTTTTTAACTAAATCAGTTTATCATTCGTCCTTATTTTAGTATTTGTATTACCGAAGCAAGAGCTGGGCAACTTGCGCCAGAAAAATTTCTGCTGAGAGATGCCATCTACTCCTTCTGTAGTAGGAATAAATCGAGGGAAGGCGGGCCCAACGGTTTCCAATCTTGTTCTCATGTGAACACGCCCATGTCCAAGGTAGCTTCAAACACAGCGACTGGAACTTTGTATTCCCAGAAAAGATTGAGAGCATTACTGAAGGTGTGAACTGAGCAACCGGCAACACAAGCTCCAGATACGTTGGAACGAGGACAAGCTAGCTTGTACTGGCGCCGCTGGTGAGGCTGTCCTGTCGACTGCGTCGGACCCGCTCAAATGTCGTTTAAAAGAGTGCAATATAGAGGAACACTAAAGTTCTTGGAATTTTCCAAAGTCTGACGTACCACTGAATTATTGCAGTGTAGCGTGGATAGTAGACAAACTAAACTGTTGCGTGCATTAAGCAGAAGAGAACGGCCCACTACCGCTGAGATATCATCCTCATTAACGACGCTGTGCAGAGCATACACAGATTATGACGAAAAGTAGAATTCGCGAAAGAACTTAATTTGGAATTAAAAGAAAGGAAACTAATCTAGAATGATTATATTACTATATATAACCACATAAAATAAATTTCTGTTCCCCTTTTTTAATTATTCACCATAGATTGTAAAGCTTTCAGTCCAATTTTCGTTCACGATAAACTTAAAAGCTTACTTTCTATCCACACTTTACTTAGTTACTAATAAGCTTCAATGGTTGTAGTCTGAGGAAGGAATAACGATACTAAGCTTTTCTCATCAAAATGATTTCGTTAAATTGCAGTGAACTTAGAATAATGGTTTTTATAAATATGAATTTTTTTTTTCATATTTTTTATTTTTTTCTCTCATTCAAAGCAGATATTAAAAATGCTAGGAGCATTTATAAATTTTTATTTAGCAAAATATAAAAAAATAATTAAATACGTTTTCGCTGTTTTTAGCAGAAAATCCATTCCGACCTCTTTATCAGTGGATGTTATAGAAAATATGGTGAATCCCTTTCCCAAAGTTTTTCAGAAAATGTTTGAAGCAGGTTCGTTATTGCAACAAATTTGCACCTCCAGAGAACTTAAAATAATTATTATAAAATAATTATTATAAGTTCTCTGGTTCTCTGCATCATTTGCTTGACGACTAGCAACATTTTTACTTTCTACATTCCAGTTTTGACTACAGAAATAGTACAGACGCAAACCAATGAAGCCCACTATCCATAAGTGGAACATATTGTTTCATAATTTTTCCCGTACTGTGTTGTATCACATTTCGAACAAAAACATTTTTTTTTTTCAATTAACTGAATTTGGCGAAAGGTGGCGCTAGAGTCCATGTGGATTGATTTCAATTCCATATTTGCTTCCTTTGAAAATAGTGAAAAAGGAATTCACTTCCGCCACCACTATAACGTAATCAAGGATAACTAGTTAATGTATGAAGGGAAGTGTTTCCTCCAATTCTGCTTTTGCGTTAATAAAATTTTCTTTGTAATAGATTTTTTTTTTACACATGAAAATAGATTTTAGGCTACGCATATTTCAAGGATAATAAGTTGAGTTGAGTAGATGAGGCTATTGGTCGGCGACCACTGCACTTGGATATTTTTAACCAATTTTGATATCACTGAGAGGGTGCGGAGCTGTGTCGCACGCTTGTAAAGACTGTGTAGTGTCATGTTGCGTCAAAAATCATTGGAGTGATCCCGTGAAGGCCAACAGAGTCGCGTCCCGTCATATTAATGGAGAACCAGTATTGATATTTTTCCTTCCATCACTGTCTGTTTGGTCACATTGCAAATGATCTCATTCCATCTGATGTTCGCTTTTCATCAAAGGTATGTTTTAACGAGGGCAGAGGTACTGAAGGGTTTTTCCTATCGCTGGCTCGTTGGTCGAGTAGTTTCCTGGGATGGTCCTGTGCACAGGCACCCAGATAACAGCGGTGTTACATTTACTCGAACGCTTGTTTAAAGTGTATCAACTTCATGAAGCCAACTTTAACGTGGTATTGTTGTAGAGATCCAATAACAGCCGGATCGTGAGAATTTATCGTAATTGATTGTCGAGCTACCGTAGATATGAGCAGCCGTTCGCCGACTTTTGTGATTGCACAAAGCTCTGATTGGAATACGCTGCGATGCGTCAAAATACGGAGAGTGGATTCCACAGCTCACTTTGTCATCGAAACATGGGCGGTCTGAAAACATGTTTGTAGCTCTATGATGGAGGCTGTTTGAGTTTTCCAATTCGGTCCTAAAATAGATTGCAGTTCAACAGGGATTCCTTCAAGCTTGGTTTGTGTTCAATCTAATTGGGTTGAAACTCGGTTGTGGTTTGCTGCTGAAAATCGATCATGTTCATCCGGTTCGCTTAGTTATTTTCCAAAGTGATAGCTACCAAACGGTAATGCCGTAGAAAAGTATGGTTTCCACTACGGGGCTGTGAATATACAGTGGACAAAATACAGTCTTGGGCTTCATGTTTTGCCTGTAGTCGTCGTACAAGACTGTTGAGCAGTTATAACCTTCTTTTCGTCGTGTTTTGAACTGGAGCCAAAAAAAGTATTTAACTCTGTAGAGAGAGGCCCTTTGATATATTAGAGGAATAGCTTTGAACGAACGTGGCTTAAATCTTCTGGTTAGGAGAACCATCATGGTTTTAGCTGGTTTGATGCACAGTTTGTTTTATCATGAGTTCGTTCAGTGGGACCGACTTGGTCAATAAAAAGTATAACTTGAGCATTTTTGGGCGTTTGCGCGAAAATATCCATCATAAGCGACCAGAACTGTGGGCCAGGAATTTCCGGAAACTTTCATGATGATAATGCGCCATCGCACCGAGCTGTATTTTTGAACGATGCGACTTTTTTGTTTCCAAAACTCAAATTACCACTCCACGGAACCCGTTTCGACTCGATTGAGGCCGTAAAAGAAAATTCGCAAAGAGAACTGAGGTCGACTGATTTCAACTCTTGCTGGCCACAAACTGGTTTGACAGATCGCGCTTAGTTTCCAGAGTATCGTCTTTGCGGTGAGGCGTCAAAACAGTGGAGAGAAAATTTCTTTATGAGGGGTACCCGAGATGATATATCTTGTAGCCGATGCAAATCGATCAAACTATTCACTTCTCATTGGTAATAGAATAGTCGAAGACACTGCGGCTTTACCCGCAATCAGAAGCAACAGTTTTCTAATACTTTTTTCTTTTCTTTTTTATTTACATTTATCATTCTTATTTATTATATAATTTATTTTCTTTACCTTAATTCCAGGCTAATTTTGGTATATATAAAAATTTCAGTAGCAAAATCCAGCAATCATCACAGTATAATTATTTTTAATAAAATTAAACTTTAAGTACACTTGCACCTACGGAAAACTGCCTTTAGTTCCATCATAGACTTCGCTATTCATTCTCACACGCCTCACAGTCTTCATGCAGTTTGCTCAAACGCATAATAACCTCATCCAACTCATATTGCGAACTATAATTACCCGCTGCCACTTCCATCGCGATTTGTGATTGGCGACGCGCCACTTGTGCATTTGTAACACGACGACCCGTACGGAAGTATTTCTCAATTTCCAACAAGGTACGGCCTTTGGTCTCCGGCACAACGAAAATGATGAACAGCAAACCGATTAGAGATATGAGAGCGAAACCGGCGAAGCTATTCGGTGTGCCGATCAGCGATTGCACACTGGGATATAGCTTAATTATGCTGAAAGAGAAAGTCAGACCAATGAAGAGCGTGAAACCGTTAGCACTGCCACGCACACGTTGCGGAAACACCTCAGAGATCATCAAGAAGGGCAACGTGAGCAGGCCCAGCGTCGAAAAGATGATGTGCAAGATAATGCAAATTATGGGTAACAGTGGCAAATGTTCACCGATGACTGGGTACCAACCGTTAGCCGCCAACAAGAACATGGAGATTGTCATGCCTGTTGCCGAAAGCATACCCGCCGGTCGACGACCCCAACGTTCGAATATTGTGCTGATGAAAAAGGTGGTAATGATGCGTGCAATGCCGACAAAAATCGCCACAAGCATAGGGTCGACAGAAACGCCTGCACTCATCGCTATTTGCGCCGCAAACACAATGATAATAACAACACCGGAAAATTGTTGAAAGAAGAAGAATCCGATCATCATGATGAGCGGCTTGTAAACTTCAGGTGAGCGCACAGCCTGTAGCAGCGATTCATTTGCCGCTTCAGTGCGACTTTCATCCGAAGTTTTCTTCATCAACGCCAATTCCTTCTCGAATTCATCGTAGGTGGTTTTGTCTGTAAACAGGAATGAATCAATAAAAGTACATTGCAGAGATTAACACTCAAACTCACCATTCTCAGAGAGTCCACGGAAATATTTCAACGACTTGCGTGCCTTTTCCGAACGGCCCTTCTGTAGTAACCAACTAGGCGACTCGGGCATGGGTAACACACAGCAGAAGGCAACGCACTGATAAATCCCTGAGATTAAGCAGATTAATTGAAATTGATTCTATAATTGAATTAATAGGATGATTTTAAAAAAGTTCGGAAGTATGTTATTGGAATTAAATCAGGCAACCAAGCAACAACAGCCAACTTACTCTTATAAGGTAACCCAGCACATACATCAGCAATATGCCCGTTGCAATGGCAATTGATGTGCCCAATATAAGGCGTCCACGTATGCGTGGCAAACTGATTTCTGCGGAGTATGAACCAATAGGTGATATTGCTGCGCCCATCATCAGACCTGTTTAAGGGAAATAAAATAAATTATTATTTTTGATTTTACATTCAAGAATACAATTTTCGTGCACCTGATATAAAACGTCCAACGAGTAGTTGTAGAAAAATATCGTGTCTTGAGCTTTGGTAGGGAGCCGTGACTAGCAAAGCCCAACCGATAATGCCCACTAAATTGGTCAGAAGCATTGTATTCTTGCGTCCAAAGCGATCCATTAGATAACCTACTATCAAACCGCCAAAGGGACAGGCCATACTGTTGATTGATGCTGGAAGCAGAGAGAGAGAGAGAGAGAGATAAATAAAAAATTAAAAACAAGGTAATATGTGGAGATTTCAGAATTATAGCGATTAAAGAGAAGCCTGAGTTTTCAATCGCAATAAAAGAGATTTTAACAAATTTGCATTTTTTAAATAAAAAAATGTCAGAAATCCAATTTTTTCTAAAAAATTTTATCAAAAATAATAAAAAGCTCTGCTCACCAAACCAACTGCTCTCTTCGGTGCTGAGTTGATAAATATCATCCTTACTAGTCAATTGAGTTAATGAAACAGAAGGCAGGGACACTGCCATGCTTGACGCCACCACGCAGGTATTACCCAGCAATACCATAAGTTCCTGTAGAGCAAAAATAAAAAAAAAAATTGTTAATTTTTTTTTAGAAATTTCAAATAGCAGGTTTAAAAATATAACTTTAATTAGAGCACGTTAATTACCTGTCTCAGCACCGCCTTTTTACGCTCTCCCAATGGCTTTGTGGGCTTCTTTTTGAGTGCTTTGGTAATGAGCGGCGAGAGCGCAATACTGCTACTTTGAATTTTCGATAATTCTGGATTCATTTTGTGTGATATGTATGAATATTTAAAAGTAAGTACTTAAGATATTTTAGAAAGAAATAAATATTATATTTTTATGATGTTTTCTTCGCTTTGGTGTAGCTCTGTAAGAAAAAAATATAAATAATAAATTATATATCAATTGTATAAATACTATTATTCTATATCAAAATTTTTAAATTTTAAATTAAAAATTTTGTTTAGAAAATAAAAACGTACAACCTAGTGTGAAATTTCAAAAAAAAATCGATCTTTTTTTCATATTTTGGTAGATTACACCTTTGAAAATAACATATTAAAATTTCAAGTCGATATCTCAAATAGTTTTTGAGTTACAGTAATTTAAAGAGCAGCCGCTCGGCAGCTAAAGAGTCTCATTAGCTACGAGTGATTCCGGCTTTCTCCGTGTATATATATATATATATATATATACGAGTATAATATTTATTTATTAAATGCGTCGTTATCACTGAAAATTTTAATTGTTGTTTATTTAAATATTTACCATCACCATTTGATCAATCTGTCTACCATTTTAAAATCATACAAAACACAAAAAATTTTTAAGTTTTTTTGCAATAACAAAACTTTGTATGCTTTTCACTGTTTGACATTCAAAATGTAAAATTAATTAATAATAATTTTCCAATATTGACAACACTTCACAAAATAAAGTAAGCAATAATGAAAATTAAATATAATATAACGATATCGCAATATCAAGAATGCGTGTACAACAAATATAATCTATTATTGTTTTCAATACGTTTTCAATTTGTAAAGACATCAAGTGAACAATGCGAAGTGACGCAAATACATAAGTGAAAACACGTTATTTGCGTATAGAATACATAATTATTTATTTCTTATCAACAAAGTTGGTGTTTGCTTTCACACGTTTTTAAGTATTCTAATCGCCAACCAGTGAGGTTTAAAAGGTCAAATCAATTATTCTATGAAATATTTTACAGAATTTTTTTTCTTATTAGAATTCATCCAAGAGAAGGAATAAAATAATAAAACTGTTTTTATTTTACTTGTTTTTCTTTTTTTCATTTTAATATTTTCTGTCATATAACACAAAATTTTTTTGTAGTATAAATATGTTTCATTTTTCCTAAAAACACATATAATCTGCCTCCGACCGGCTGAGGCTTTTATTCATGAGGAGCCTTATTTTACATCAGAAATACACTCGGAGGGGTTGATATTCCCTGCCGACCGCTATTAAAAAATGTTACTTAAGTTTTTATTTAAATTAATTTTCTATAACTTTTTGGATGTTAGTACGACACCAGAATTTGAACCCGAGCCTTCCGAATGGCAGTACGCAATGTTCACTACTAGGCTACCGGCTACCGCAGCCGATTTTAATTTATATTTCATTATATACTATTTTATTTCAATTATTTTATTTTATTTTATTTTATTTTATTTTATTTTATTTTATTTTATTTTATTTTATTTTATTTTATTTTATTTTATTTTATTTTATTTTATTTTATTTTATTTTATTTTATTTTATTTTATTTTATTTTATTTTATTTTATTTTATTTTATTTTATTTTATTTTATTTTATTTTATTTTATTTTATTTTATTTTATTTTATNTTTTTTTTTTTTTTTTTTTTTTTTTTTTTTTTTTTTTTTTTTTTTTTTTTTTTTTTTTTTTTTTTTTTTTTTTTTTGGTATTTTATTAAATTTTTTTAATTAGTTTTATTAATTTCTTACATTTTATTGTACTGAAGATATTTTATTGTTCTTAATTTTGTTTCATAATTTATTTATAACATTCATAATATATATTTTATGGATATCGAACCCCTACATTTTGCGCAACCGAGGTTTTATGTCGGTAATAATAATATAAAATTAAATGAGGAAAGATACATCATTTGCATTCCCTACTCAACGAATTTCAAGTGGCAGATGGTGTCAAGATAATTATAAAATTGAGCGACATATAGATTCTATCGATTTTTCAGTCTTTTAACTTTTGAAAAAATTAGAAGTTGAAAATTAGTAGTAGCTTTTTTAAAGATAAATAAGCAAGTAAATTAATACATTGCAATGATTAGTGCAAAAAGTCAAAGCTAAAATTAATTATAATTTATATATATAAGTAATGATGTATATAAATAAATACAAAAGAAACAAATTATGTTGTTTAACCAATAAAAATTAAAAATGTTAGTTATCAATGTTTATTTAACGAACATTAAAAATTATGTACATTTTATATATTTTTAAGTCCTTGTAATATGATTGTTTATTTTATATATATTTTGATTGTAACGGACTTAAGGTTGACGCAATCACTGCTCATTGAAACAGATAAGACTTTCCACTTGAGCATGCTTTGCCCAATATACATATGTATAATTATTATTTTATTAAAAACATTCACACAATTTTTATATTTATATGTATGTATGTTACCTACATACTGCTTGCTACTGATACTTGGGAGACTGCCTTAAGCTAGTTAATTGTTGCTTCGGTATCAATAAAGTAATGAAGTACCCAAGAGCAACAGCCGAAGCTGAAGAAAATTATATTATATAAGACAAGTAAGTATAGATTATAAAAAATAAAAGAAACATAATGTTACTCAAAGCAAACTACTAAGCATCGCAGTCTTATATTTATAAAATATCTCGGAGCATGACCTAAAGTTAGAAATTCTCTTTAAAAGTAAGTGAATTCGAACTAAATTCTAAAAATGAAATAATAAAATAAAAAAAAATACTTTATCATAAAATTTAATTTATTAAATTCTGTAAAATTTATTAATTTTTTTTATATTCTCCTACCGCGCAACACCACTCAATATTCTGCAAATTTAATCATAAACATAAAATTATTGTTAGTATTTTGCTGTTTGATATATCGATTAAATGCGATAGAAAGCAGCAGATATAAGTTATGAGTTAGATAGTCACAATACATCTACACATATGCATATAAAAAAATTTGAATAATTCTGCTCACCTGTGAATAAATATTTTTTTCTGTCTCCTTTTTGGCACGTTTTGTTAATTTTGCTAGTATTTGGCTATTTTTGTTGCTTTTATTATATGTTCCACAATCAATTACGCATGACAGCTACTTTATTACAGCGTCAAGTACATTTATAATTATTTTCGAGAGTAGTTAATTGAACTTTTGCCGCTGTTTTAGTTTTTGCCAACGATGTTTAGCGTTATATAATAGCGTAGGAGCAGCGGTGATTATTCGGAGAAGTTTATTATCATTAATTATTTGGCAGTTATACAGTTTTTATTTGTTTTTATTACTTAAAAATTTTTTTCATACAATTTTTTATATAAATATATAATAATTAAATTATAAATATATTTATTTAAATAATAATTATTATTAAGTTTTTAAATTGCAATTTTATTTATTATTATTTTTTTATTTATAAATGCATACTGTTTAAATAAATACACTTTTCCGTATTATTAATAGCACGGTTATATTAATTTTTAGTATTTAATTAGAAAAATTATTATAAAATTTTTTCTTTTAGTTTTTAATATTATCTTTTATTTTTTAATTATTATTATCATTTTTATGTCTTTCAATTAACTTTCTATTTCACAATATTGCATCAAAATTATATTTGGCAGCACCCCTCAACCGTAGGCAATCCTTTTAAGTACTTAAACACCGTTAAAATCTATCCTCATTACCGCCTATCAAAAGAATGTCTTTCCCGCAACGCGTCTGAACGCGCTGACACCAGCTATGGTTCTGTTCGATTCAGTCTCTCTATCCACCGAAAAAGACCTGCTCCATTAGCGCTTGCTAGTATCTTTTAGACAGTACTTGATACTAACCGCAGTGCTATGCTCTGCTTTGCGCTGCTCTGCATGATGTGGCGTGTTCTATGGTGATGTACAACAACTTTTAGCAAGCGGCACGCGCAGCACCCGTGCGGCTAACAGCTAACATATATGCATACATATATGATATGAGCACACACAAAAAACTAAACACTTTGCTAATATTTTGTTTTGGGTTGCGAACGTTATCACCGTTATCGATGTTGACGTTATTCCCAGTCTTTCAAGTGACCAGGTGATTGAATGTGTCAAGCTACACGCCGCTGCAATCTACGTTGGCACAGTAATAATATGACGCCATTACATTCAATAAATAACTTCTGCAAAGGCTGATCAAAGGCTGGCTGGCTAGCTTGCTGAGTTGAAAATATGTGCACGAGATTGATAACTAAGGCACAGGCGTTGACTGCCATACATAATGTAACCAAAATCTTCAACGATGATGTATCACCCCCGTAATGGACAGTGACCACCACGTTGTTCTCTTATCAATTATATATGCATATGCAAACGTTGCTCTCATCACTGAAAATTAAAAATTCATTAAGGTATTTCACAACAATGATTCGACGGCTCTTGGCAACGAAAGGCCGGTAAGAGTGATTAGCTACGTTTTTTTTTTTTTTTTTTGAATAGTCATAAATATTTATGAACACACTTATGTGTATATGCATATATATATGTCATTCGCATTTTTATTTGTTTTTGCCAGGTTGGTTTTTTTCAATTAAAATTAATTTTCAATATATCCAATCTGGTTTCGCCGGCCGCACAGCAAACAGCTGTTTGGAACATCTACTCTTTGCTAAAGGTAACAAGCAACTCTCTCTCTCTCACTGTATCTCTCTCTCTATCTGTCTGTCTGTTATCTCACAATATCCCGTTATTTCTCTCTCTCAGTCTCTCACTTGTTAGCCTGAGCTATGAATTGCAAAATGGTTTATGTCTCATTAATGGGAGTCAAAACAAACGTAAAATAATCTCCATAATACAATATATTACTGTTATTTCCATTAACATAATGATTGATTAGATATTGGTTGGAAAGATTATTTTTTTTCGTGACTAAGTATGTTAATGTTGGTATTTAAAAATATTTTTATTTTTTTATTTTTATTATCTCCGTAGTTAACATTTACCAGCAGATCAGAATATTATATAAAATTAGACTCATAAGAGAGAAAGTATGCGCCGATTATAGAGAGCCATTTCAGTATGTTTTGTATACCTATTTTTGAGTAAACCAATAGCCGTATTTATTGAGAGTGGTTAGCAGTGGAGTTTACGGTCTTGGACTCAGCCGAAAAACGCTTAAGCGGCTATAAAAGTTAATTTAAATATATAATATTGTGGATTTATGAGTATTAAGTGTAAAAGAAAATGAAGGGCTGACTAATGTTTTTTAAAAACTGAGAAGTTACTCAAAAGCGATGACGAAAATCAAGTGATTCGAATAATATCCAAAACCATATTCAAATATTAGAAAATCACCCCAAAGCAGAGAATTGCAACACTTTCCATTGTATTTCCTGCTCAAAAATACTTCTCAGTCATTCAGAGAAGGTTTCTAATCGAGAGATTCTCGGCTCTAATTGCCTTTGGAGGTTATAATGATGAGTTATTTCGAATTTATTAGCTTCAGCGTTAACTGCTTTCAGAGACAGAAAATACGTTCGGATATTAGATTGGCCTGATACCAAAACGAAATGAAAGAAATTCTTTGCTTATGTTAAAAAATGGATTTAGATTCCAGATTTCACTAAAATTTATATGGTTTTTTGTAGCCTTTGTTAATAGAAATCCGTAATTAAATACTTTGATGTTATTCTGGTACTGCTCTATTTTCCTAGATTTTTTTTACATTTTTTTTTTAACCATAATTGAATCACCGTAAAGCACTTGGCCGTATCATGGACCCTCTCTTCATGTAGCCTAACGTAGCCTCTCTTTCACTTCCTTTTCCAAGTTGCGTGGCTCAACCCAGCATTTTAACATAAACCTATTCGCTTTGTTTAGTTGCAAAAAAATATTAAAAAAAAATAAAAATGTTGGTCTCGAAGAATACTCATTTTGAAAAAATAAATAAATAAATAACAAATATTGAACAATTCTGTTTTAAATTGTACTATTATAGTTCATTTGGAACTAGTACAAATCTAATATTGCTGTTGTTCTCAAATAGTATAAATCCCGTAGAAAAAGTACCAACCGGTTAGATAAAATACACAGTTTTCCGAGTAGCTGGGCTTGTTAAGCAAATTTACAAAAGTAGTTTTTACCTAACTCATTTTACTGTGGGGTTACTTCATATACACGTATATGTATACGGTAGAATAGAAGTAATTATTAAGCCATATAAAAAACTGACTAAAATTGTACGAAATTCATGTATCTGAACACACAACATCGGCACAAATATACTGAAACTGTTTAATGATTTTATCGCTGTGTTTCGTGCATACATACATACGATTTTATGAACGGAAATAGCTGGTAATCGATACTTTTATATGTTTTAATTATCTACTATCAAATTTTAAAGCGTATTGATTTGGCATATCTGTGTATTTACATGAAAGTCTTTTTGACAAGCATAGCTAAAATTAATAAATATTTCTAAAAAAACACTGACATGAAACTTTTCAGCAGCTAACAAAAATACCGGTTATGTACAGTAGATATATTTTTTTATGTATTTTGAACGAAGGTACTTTACAAATTTTAATTCCCTACTTAAAACTCTGGCTAGTAGCAACAATAGCATTTGTTGACTGAAACTAACAGGTTTTATATCCGGCAAGAATTTGTAATTAATTTTATATATCTTGGATGCAAGTATTCATTTTAGTGGCTACATCAGTTGAAATGTTTTAAATGTGAAATACATACATACATACATTACAATTGGATTCCACGCCATAGTTGACAGCTGCTGCAATCGCATAATAGCCACAGATTTCGCGAGTTGCAAGTTGTTCATTTCTAGTTGCATGTTTAGGCATTCACGCGCCTAAACACATTCGAATGAATTTCGACCCTGTAGGAATGCAAAGTTCAATAAAAATAAAAATTAAAAATAAAATTAAAATTAAAATTAAAATCGAAATTGAAATTAAAATTAAAATTAAAATTAAAATTAAAATTAAAATTAAAATTAAAATTAAAATTAAAATTAAAATTAAAATTAAAATTAAAATTAAAAATAAAATGGAATTGAAAACAACTCTTTTTATTATTCTATTATTAAGTTTTCTTCACGGCTCTTCATTCAAATCTGTTTTCTCTACAATTGCTAACCCACACCTTATTGTAATTGTTATTGTTGTTGACTACATTACATGAGTTGCGCGCACGTTGAGCGTTGCGATTCCATTAGTGTTGCCAACAATTACATTAAAAGGCATCAAACTGGCATTAGCGTCAACTTATGTATGTGCATCTATGTATACATTCACATATGTATGCACATATATATATGTATATATATGCATATCACGCACACTAACAAACAATAAACAAGCGCTCTTATAATGCACTTTTAACTGTAAATAGTCGCAGTAGTAGCGCGTGACTTCAATCACTATTTCCACTGGCCACTAATGGTGGCACGGTGGAGCGGTGAGGGGTGGGATGAAGGTATAGTTTTTGCAATGCTATGATAACAACAATGTGCTTTTTTGTTGCTCTTTACCAACTAACTATTTAGTTGGCATTGGAAGCGACCAAAGAGTTGCAAAGTTTTTAGACACAAATGCACTGCTAAGCCCTTTTCATGGCGCATTTTATGGCATTAATGCGTTGCAAATGCACACTGGCGGCAGCTTTTGGCAGCGCTCATGACTGCACATATGCTGATAATTGGTTTTGAGCAGGAAGCAAGTATTAGATTTTTTGGTTTTCAAATTGGAGTAAGAAATTAGAGATATTTTTTATTGTTAAATTAAAAATGAAAAACTAGCAATTTTCCTGCACCGGTATATCTCTGGTGTATACCTGAGTCCGAAATTATTAAAGGACATGACATTGACATAAAAAGATTTGCTTTGCAGTTCATCTGCACTGATATATGAAGTCTTGCCAGCGGAACAGCTTATTTCGAAGTTTCAAAATCTACACAGACCCATGCTATATGAACTCTCGCGTTTGTTCTGCTGCTTCCCCTCTAGACGTGTGTTTCCAATCCTCTAATCACAGCGCGTTGATTTGAGATGATTTTGCAAGGTTTACCTTGTACTTATATTGTACTGTCATCTCAAGGGCAACGCGCAGGCGTGCCAAGACCGAAAACGGCACAAAAATTTCATTCATCATTATTCCTCACTGCATAAGGAGTTCTCACCACGACTCCGTCAAATTAATATTTCTTGAAATAATCTGAAGAATTTTTTTTCCAATTGTGGTTGTCCCACGACAGGGAATGTCAAGCCCTTCGAGTGTGATTCTGACATGAAATAAAG